TGGTATCTTTTAACAAAATGTAGTTTCCCCATTAACTCTTTTTACTAGATCTATTTTTGCTTTTGCTTTGTCTGAGATCATGATTGCTATCTCTCCCTTTTTCAGTTCAACTAAAGCATAATAGATTCTGCTCTAGCCCCTTATTTTAACTCCATGTGTAATCTTTCTGTTTCAAGTATTTTTCTTATAAACAACATATTTTTGGATTCTGATTTCTAATTCATTCTGATATCCTCTTCTGTTTTATGGGTAAGTTCATCTTATTCAAAATTATGATTGGTAACTGTATGTTTCCCTCCATCCTATTTTCTTATACTTATCCTTTTCTTTTTTACCCTGTTCTCTCCTTGAGTGCTTCTGACCACCAACTAACTCCCTTAATCTAGCCTCTTATTCCCCGCCCTCTTCTTTTAACTCTTTTCTCTCCTACTTCTCTGTTGGATAAAATGAATTTCTGTACCCAAATGTACATATATGTATAATGTTCCTTCCTTGACAGTTCAGATGACAGTGAGGTTCAAATGTTGTCTCTTCCCTCCATCCCCATCCCCTCCATAATATAAATTCTTCCATGCATTTCCCATTTATGTGAGATAATTTTCCCCATTCTTCCTCTCCCTTCATTCCTCTCCCAGTACATTTTCCCCTCACTCTTCCATTCTTCTTTTGAGATCATCTCAGCAAAAAAGAATCACACCCAGGCCCTCTGCCTAATTAGACTCCCTCTGAGATTACCAACTATGATGAAGCTCTGTATTCTCTCCCCATAAAGGAATGTAAACAGTTTAATCTTATTTAATTGCTTATGATTTCTCCTTCATGTTTACCTTTTTATGCTTCTCTTGAGTCTTGTGTTTTTTTAATGTTAAATTTTCTAGTCAGCTCTCTTCTTTTCATTAGGAAACTTGAAAGTCTTTTATTTCTTTAAAGCCCATTTTTCACCCTATGGGATTATACTTAGTTTTGCTATATATTATTCTTGGCTGTAATCCTAGCTCCTTTGCCTTCTAGAATATCATATTCTAAGTCCTATATTTCTTTATAGTGGTGGCTGCTAAATTCTGTGTGGTTCTGACTGTGGTTCCACAGTATTTGAATTATTTCTTGCTTGCTACTTATAGTAGTTTTTCTTTGACTTACTTCTGGATTTTGATTATAATTTTCCTGAATTTCCTTAAAATCTTCATTTGAGGGAATTTTTTCAGAAGGTAACTGATGGAGTCTTTTGATTTCTACTATGCCCTGTGGTTCCAAGAGATCTGGGCAGTTTTACTCTACAATTTTTTGAAATGTGATGTCTAGGCTCATTTTTCGTTTGCATTTTTCACAATGATTCTCAAATTATCTCTCCTCAATCTATTTTCCAGGTCAGTTGCTTCTCCTATGAGATGTTTCACATTTTCTTCTATCTTTTTCCTGCCTTGACTTTGTTTTATTCATTCTTGATACAGTTAACTCCCTTTTCACAACTTTCTTGCATAGCTCTCATTTTCCCCCCATTTTTTCCTCTACCACTCTTATTTGGTTTTTAAAATCTTTTTTTTTAGGTTTTTTTTTTTAAATCTCTTTAATTCTTCTAAGAATGTTTGTTGGACTTATGTCCAAAATACATTTTTTCTTGAGGCTTTGCTTGTAGATGTCTTGACATCATTGTCTTCTTCCGTGTTTAAGCTTCCTTGTCACCACAGTCAGTCTTTATGGTTGGATTCTTTTTTGGTTTGCTAATTCTTCCAACCTACTTCTTGACCTTGGACTTTACTTTAGTGTTGTGTTCTGCTTACTCCTGTGAAAGATCTTTCCTGAGCGTCTGTCTTTTTATGTCCTTCTGCTGTATTCATGTTCCATCTGGTGCCCTATAAGTTTTCAGTCCTTCTAAAGTAGAGTGATCTGGGGAGAAGTTTGTTAACTGCCCTCCTGGTATGAGCTCTGCAAATTCCTGACCCATGCTTGGATCTGTTGGATGGTATGTGGTTGAGTTTCAGTAGGCTGCTGCTGGACTCTTACTCTTAGCCCACTCTGCAGGTTCAGAGCAACTGAACTGATGGCTTCCCTTTGGTCATGTTTTCCTGATCTGGTTATTCCACTGTAGGCTTATTTGCAGGCCTACAGGTTAGAACTGTATTCCCCCTCTGCTCTTGGCCTCATAGCCACATAGCTAAGATTTTAGAACTCATTTCTCACTCTGTACACAGGTTAGGCTTCCCTTGCTCATGATCATTTCTCTTCACCCTGGTACTATGACCCAGAACTGCATAATGGGCAACAGCGCTGCCAGATGGTTCCTATTCCCAATACTAGTTCAAGGGTCCTCTGGAGATCTCTTTCTGCCCTGGTGCTTCCAGCGCTAGTATTCAGTCTCAGTCCCTTTACCATCTCTGAGTGCTAAAATGTTCTCTACTGATGCCACTATTGCCATTACTGCCTTTACTGCCACTATGCTGAGCTCCTGGCCAGCCTCCAATGCAGTGTCTGCAGGCTTCTCTGTCTCCCTATACTTCTCTTGGATGGGAAAATGACTCACTGTGACTTTTTCTTAGCTTTCCCAAACAAAATTTGGCCTGACGTGTTTTCTAGGTTGTTGCAGAGGTGGTGTATTGAAAGAATTGAGCAAAAAATGCTGACACTCAATCTTGACTCTGTCTCCACCTTACCTCCCTATTTCCTTTACTAGTATAACATCCATCTCCTGCTCCCTTAGCTAATACTCCTACCATCCCATGTTCTATCCTAGGTCCTCTTCTTTTTACTGTCTGTATTCCTTTGGTTTCTTAACAGCGCCCTATGAACCTATGTTCAATGATCATCTCTATGCAGATGACTCCAATTCCACAACTACCTGCTAGATATATTCGTCTGGATTTCTAACCAATGTCCAAACTCAATATGTCCTCCCCCAACCTACCCCTACTCCTAAACTTCCTATTTCTATTGAGAATGTTTTCAACTACCTTCCCATCTCCCATGTTCACAACCTTGAAGTCATTTTGACTCTTTCTTCTCTCTCATTACCCATATCTAATCAATTATCAAATCTTGTCAGTTTACCTCTGAGTCTCTTACATTCATTCTCCCCTCTTTTCATTCACACAGCCACCAAGCTAGCTCAAATCTTCATTAGCTCTTGCATGGAATATTGCAATACCTCCCTAATTGGTCTCCCTGCCTCAACTCTCTTCTCTCTCCAATCTATCTTCCATTGTGCTGCCAAATTAATATTCCTAAAAGACCAAAAGAGCATGTAACTTCCCTGCTCAAAATCTTCAATAGTACCCTACCACTTGTAGGATAAAACATAAACTCCTCCATAATCTTGTTCCCAACCATCTTTCCAGACTTATTTCATAAAACTCTACATACACACACCCCAAACACATTTTAATTCTAGCCAAACTAGCATATTAGTTAAACTCAACATCACATCTCCCATGTCCATGTCTTTCAACCATCCTAGAATGCACACCCTCTTCATCTCCACCTCTCAGACTCTTTAGTTTCCTTTAAGGCCCAACTCAGGTGCCTACCTCCTTGGTCAGTCAATAAGCAATTATTAAGTGTTTATTATATGCCAGGCACTATGCTAGGTACTGGGGATACAAATACAAGGAAAAAAAATTATCTGCCCTGAAGGAGCTTATATTCTAAAAGGGAAGACAACACATTAAAAAAAATTAAAAAGGGAGTTAAGAGAGAGGGAAAGTACTTGGTAGGAGGACATGACGAATAAGTCCAGAGGAGTGAAACCTGGCATGAAATAAAGAATGGCCTGAGAACTCTCTAAATGAGGGTCCTGAGCAAAGTTCTCTATATTCCAATCAGAGGCAGAAGCTGTAAATTCTAGGGCTGATATGATCTTACAGGATCAAAAAGTTTCTAGGACATGGTAAAATATTATTTCCTGATTCCCCCCAGTTGTTATAGCTATTAGTAAAATCTCTCTCTCTCCTTCCTCAAATTATATTCGAGTTACTTATCTATGCAATGTTATATCAATTCCAGTAAAAGGTAAACTCCCTGAGGAGAAGGACTGGTTCTTTTTTTTTAAATTTTGTATCCCTAGTGCCTAGCATAGTGCCTTGCACATATATCAAGGATCTATAATTTCACCTTAGTGGAAATCTTTCCATGTGTCCTGTACATAGCAGACACTTAGTAAATGTTTGCTGAATTGAACTGAATTACCATCTAGTTAGATAAAACAAGACTAATACATATTAAACCTCCCAGAAGGCAAAAAGTTCAAATGTATTTAAGTGCAAAAATGTGTGGTATGGACAATAAGTACCACATAAGTTCATAGAAGAGAGACCATCGGGGGTCACACAAAGACTTTGTAGAGGAGGAGGCACTTGAAATGGATCACTCCACTGTTTGCAGCACACCAAGCTGATGTTGACTCCTACATCTGGCCCAATTGGTATTACTTAAAGTCTTTTCTGTCTACCTCTAAAAGGCCACTAATGTTATTTGTGGTTCTGAACAGGGAGTGAGAAAGGACCCTTAGAATAGTCAGCACCAAAGGAGTTGAAGGTTATTCTTGTCTCATTCTAATGCATGTTTATTTCAAGACTAAAATATTTAGACAGATGGAGGGGATTCAGTTGCTGATAAGATGCAAGCAATCAGCAACAACCTTATCCTCATCCAAAAGCATCTATTAATTGCCTGTTTGTGCGTGGAGTCATGCAGCGTTGGGCACTCTAAGACATCTGCTCCATTCAAGGCAACAAACAGTGAAAGGATTTCAGGTCCGCCCCAACAAAGAGGACGCAGCTGCCAAACCCCCTAAATACCATCATTTCTGAATCATTGATGAAAATCTCCAGAGGAGTTATTAGCAGTTGCTAATGCCAGGATGTACTTTCTAAAAGAAAAACACAGTAAGCAGTCTGGAGCTACAAGTGTAGAGCCAGTTACAAACTGAAGCTTGGGGTTGTTCTTGTCATTTAAATCCCTGCCAACCAGGAGAAGAATGAGAAGCAAGTCCCTGGAGAAATCCTTACCCTCCTCCTCTACAACCAAGGTCCTTATAGTGAATCCATGAGAGGGAAAAGGAAATTTCTGTCCTGTCAAGAGATTAGAGAAAAGGCATTTATAAGTAACAACCTGTTCCTAGAGTACTAAAAGTTACTCCTTGAGATTCTGTTTCATAGTGTCTGGAAAGGCTGCACAGATCAATCTCCCTTCCCTTCATTCGGTTTCTTCAGAATAAAAAGCAGTATAGAGATGGGTTAGTAGTGTTTAGACATCCTTATCTAACTCACAGCACAGCCTGAATTATGCTTCCTATGAGTAATGGAGTTCAAGACAGGAGTGTATTTTGAAGGAAAAAGGAACAAAATACTGGGATTTTCCTCTACTGGGCAGCTGCAAAGTTCTATTAGTTTACCAAGTGGTCATCCCTTTCTTATAGAAAAGAAGTATGGCTTTCAAATGTCTTTAAACAATGATACTAACTTGAGGCTGAGTTTCACAAAAGTGTCAGGGTTTTTCTCAAGTCACAGGTCTGGGAATTCATTAACCATATGCATTGGTAGTAGGTACTATGTTACGCTCATAAATGGGGAGAGTCACCACACTCTGACAGAAAAGACTGAGGGATACCACTAGATGTTGCTCGTAAGAAATAGTCCTGCTTTATAATTATTTGTGAAGATTCACAACTCTGAAGGATCAAGAAAGGAGAGATAAAATAAAAAAGATACTTATGAGATTTCAGCCTGAATCTCAAATCCCACAGAAATTATCAAATGTAAAAGTAAAAATTGGTATACATATTCAACATACACTTGGACCATCTCTAATTCCTAATATGAATTTCCATCTTTTCACATGGTTACTGAATCTTCCATATATCTGAATATACCCTTTCTTCCAGAGGATTTAAAAAAAAAACTTTTCTTATCTTTTGTCACCTATTCAAATCTTTCACTTTCTTCTGATTGGCCATCAGGCACATAACATAACATAACATTTGGCCTCATCTCAACCCAAACAGGATGTCCTCTTGTTCATCCAGTACCCCAACAAACACCTTATAACAGTAGAGTCAAACTCAAGTAGAAATATAGACCACTAAATCATATATAAGGACCTCTGTCTGACATATATTGACTTCATTTTAAAATGTAATATTATCTATGTTTTATTGTATTTTTATTTATTTTGTTAAATATTTCCCAATTATAGTTTAATCTGGTTTGAGCATACTCAGGAGTGTTGTGGGCCATCTGTTTGACATCCCTGCTTTACAAAATCAGTCACTATCCACTGCTGGTTTGCTTCGTCTTCTTAGTAGAACTGTTACTAGTGCTCATCCCTGCAATGGGCTTGGTTACAAGGAGACATCTTGGCCCCAAATTATACTGGTGAGATAATACTACCTACCAGTCATATCATTTCTCTTAATGTCAGTAAGATAGAGAAGGAGGCAAGAGCTAACCTCTCTGTTTTCCTGAGTAGGTAAAGTGACTTATCTGCAAATCCTTGACCAGGTCTCCAGGTTTCCTGATTCTCAATCCAGACTCCCTCCACAGAATTATACATGTGCCATTTGAGTCTAGCAATGCCATATGAAAACAATACTTCCTTTCTACATGATTTCTGCCACTGTGTTTAATAAGCATTGTACATTATAGGTCTTAAGCTCTGTTACATCGAAACTAATTCATAGTGGTTCTAATTTTGGACATCATAGCATGTCTTTAAAAAAAAAAGGATAGAGAATTAAGTCAAATTTATAAAAATACAAGTCATTCCCCAATTGATAAATGGTCAAAGGATATGAACAGGCAGTTCTCAAGTGAAGAAATTAAAGCCATCTATAGTCATATGAAAAAATGCTCTAAATCACTATTGAGTAGAGAAATGCAAATCAAAACAACTCTGAGGTACCACATCACACCTATCAGATTGGCCAACATGACAAAATAGGAAAATGGTAAATGTTGGAGAAGGTGTGGGAAAACTGGAACACTAATGCATTGTTGGTGGAGTTGTGAAATGATCCAACCATTCTGGAGAGCAATTTGGAATTATGCCCAAAGGGCTATAAACATGCACATATCTTTTGACCCAGCAATAGCACTTCTAGGGCTATATCCCAAAGAGATCATACAAATGGGAAAAGGACCCACACGTACAAAAATATTTATAGCAGTTCTTTTTGTGGTGGCAAAGAATAGGAAATTGAGGGAATGCCCATCAATTGGGGAATGGCTAAACAAGTTGTGGTATATGAAAGTAATGGAATACTATTGTGCTATAAGAAATGATGAACAGGCAGACTTCAGAAAAACCTGGAAAGACTTGCAAGGACTGATGCTGAGTGAATGTCGTACACAGTAACAGCCATATTGTGTGATGACTAACATTGATAGACTTAGCCCTTCTCAGCAATGCAAGGATCTAAGACATCTCCAAAAGTCTCATGATGGAAAATGCTATCCACATCCAAAGAAAGAACTATGGAGTTTGAATGCAGATCGAAGCATACTATTTGCTCTTTTTTTTCTTCTGTTATGTTTTGTTTCCTCTTTCTGATGGTTCCTCCTGTTGGTTCTAATTCTTCCTTACAACATTACTAATGTGAAAATATGTTTAATAGGAATGAATATGTATAGCCTGTACCAGATTACGAGCCGTCTTGGGGAGGGAGGAGGGTAAGGAGAGGGAGAAAAATTTAAAACTCTAAAGCTTATAGAAGTGATTGTTGATAAATCAAAATAAATTAATAAAAAAATCATTAAAAAAAAACAAGAAAGGGCTTCTCCTTAATTCCCTATGCACTATGTAATGTGCACAAATTAATGACATTCTTCTCCAGTTACGCCAGCATTTCTTTTGTCAAAAGAGGTTAAAGAAATAGGTGGCACACTGATATTAACAAAGAAAAGAAACAGTGACTATAAGTGACTTACCCAAGTCTGTAGCAAGCCCTGGGCACAAGCAAGCAAAAAAAAATAAGCAAAGTAGCCCAGAATGGATGCAGGAATTCTGCTTTTCTACAGATTCTTAATACCATCATTCCTAGTAGAATGTCACCAGGGGATAACTACAGACCTACTGAAGAGAGGCCCAAGGAGATAGAACTTGACTTCTTCAGCTTCCAAGCAACAGTAAAGGAAAGAAGAAATGATGAAGGTTTTCACCATAGGCTACCCCTAAGCACTATCATGCCTGTTTTCTGTATATCAGCATGCTCTGGACATTACTGTTACTTCTTCCCTAATAGTACCTACATTTGCATGGATTCTTCTGTAAGGTGTGCTGGAAACTGGTGAGAATCTTAAGAGTATACTAAAGAGTGACTGAGAATCAAGCCAATTGGACTCTCTTCCTGACTTGTTGTATGAGTCAGGGTTGTGACTCAGTTTCCTCTTTTACAAAATGAGTAAAATACTTGCATTCTATAATTTCAAGGGCCAGCTATAAGAAAGCCTTACCAAGTGTACTTAAGAGACATGTTGAGCCCATGGGAAGAAAAACCCACAAACTGAATTTTCTTACCCTCAAGTTGTACTTAGTTTAGTTTTTATTAAGTAAGTCTTTTAAAACCTCGTGGCCTGGGATTTTTCTGTCGTTAAACAAAATCTTACATAAAAATAACTTCTATCTTCTACAGGAAGGACAGAATAAATATTTGCTCTGCTTCCTTAAACACACTTAGTTAAATAGTATTTACTCAGATCTGTACCTGACAGGAAGAAGATCTGACATTCATAGCTACTTCTAATCCCCAACATATACTTCCTGATTTAACTAGTTTTTCAAGAAACTGTGTTGCTGGTAGCGCAAGCTATACCTCTTCGGGGTGACTAATATTTATTAATTATTAAAATTATAAAAGCTTTCTTCAAGCTTTACAACCACTAGATACTATAACATTTACTTACTTTTACATCATATTACACAGACATCACAGGAATACTTTAAGAGAATTCATCATTGTTAGGTATTCCCTCCAGAGTACTTATCATGACTTATGCATGCCTTTTCTTCCTATGTAATTCTTTTCCATATCTTTCCATAAATCATCCATACAGGCATTCCCCAAAATATTAGAGAACTTCCTCTCAGTCCTTTAACATGTTGAGGATACCAGCGCAACATTCAGGAAGTCCATATGTTATCCCTCATTCTCACTATGTAACTGGCCCACCACATTCCAGTCAAACATGTCAGAATGACAATACTGATGTGGTTTAGTTCCTCCAGTAATGTATCACCTTATTGGCTATTTGACCAAGTTCTCATATTTAAAGCACCAACAGTTAAAAGCCTTGAAGACAATCAATCTATAAACTGTAGAATTCTTAGGACATTCTATTTTCTACTACCCCACTACCATTATTGCAAAAAGCCACACAGGGCTGAGGGCTTTTTCAAAGTTTGTTTTTCCTTGATTCATGGCCAAAGAATTCACTACCTACAGGCCAAACTTCTAGAGAAGTGTCTTTTCCATTTTAGCTTGACTAGCCTGAACCCAGAACCACTCTAATTTGGTGAAAACTGCCAGGGATTATGTTCTGTTGGCATAAACTTTGATAACCTAGGTTTCATCACACAGTGATAAAGTAGCAAAGAAAAACTTTGTGATAGATCACAACCAGCCCGATTTCATCTGATTATACTAATAAGAATACCTAAAATAACTCTATTTTATATGGAACGTAGCCATTTACAAAACACTTTCTGTAAATAAACTCATTTGAACTTAATAATAACCTTGTGAAATAGCTATTTTAGGTACTATTAGCTCATTTTACACAAGAGGAAATTAGCCACAAAGGAGTTCAGTGAAATACCTAAGGTTCCACAACTAATAAGTGGAAGAACTAGGATTCACACCCATGATCTTGAAACTTCAATGCTCTTTCCACTAACCTACAGTTTCCTCATGTAACCTTGGACTCAGAGGTCCTGGGAGGCTCAAATGAGATCATGGATGTAAAGCATCTTGTGAACCTTAATATGCTATAGAAATTCCAGTTATTATTATTAATGTTATTATCAGCCTCCAGTCTGGTGATGACTTCAGTCCCTAGGCCTCCTACTGCACTCCTGC